ATCAACCAGAAAATCATTTTATTACAACATTCCACTTCATAAAAATGCATCTGCCCAGCGGATCTTTCATCGTGCATTTCAATTATGGAATGATTTATGCCCAGGACTTAAAGTCGGCATGACAGTGCGAAACGTTAAACGTAAATTAACAAGAAGTTTACTACATACATTTTTATCACAGTTTTTGTAATATTATTGTAGTCATTTTCCATGTCCACATTATTTTCTGTTTTTAGGGCCAATGACAATGTGCAATATCCCTGTAGTCGTCTACTACGGTCCTAGTGCAATAAACTACCAAGTAACCATTAATAACGTAACAACCTCGGGAAGTCTTGGTAGTGGAGGAGCGAAAGACATGGACTACGACCGTTTATCCAGACGATTGTTCTATTATGTGTCAGGCAACTTTTACAGCGTTGAACAAGATGGTTCAGATTTAAGAGACATAGGAGCAGTAGGAAATGTTGACAGGTTCACTGTGGATGGACGAAACAATATCATCTATTACATAAATGATTTAACTGACATTATTTCCAAGTTCAACATGACAAACTCAGCTGAGACTGATCTTGGCATTCGTGCCAAGGACATTGACATGGACAGCGTAAATAAGTAAGTACTGTTAACTATGAAGTACTGTTAATCCTGAATGACCCTGGATTTCATGGATAATATGCAATTCAGCATTTGAATTAATTTACCTACAGATTTGGCCATTTTTTACCTACTAATTTAAGGTCTTTGAAAAATTTTTGAAAGGTCTTTAAAAATCTTTAAAATCTTTAGTGAGTACTTGATTATACGATTTCCTAGCTAGTAAAATAGATTGATTGAAGCAAGATTTACGAAAAGGTGTATTTTAGGATGTGATTCGGCGGGACAAATTACCGGGTAAAAATGATGCTTACACTCGCATTTGTCGACAGCTGATTCATCCCAAAGGTCTTTGAAAATTAAGTATTTGAAAATAGGCAGAAATAGTCTTTGAAAGTTTTCGAAAATTTTTGGTCTTGGAGACTACGAACCCTGTATAATTATAGTGATTTATTGCAAATTCGGTTACTTGGTTTAGAATATAAACTTGAATTGAAATTATCTTCTGGCAATACAATTTAGTACTACATGCAGTAATTGATAAGGGCTATAAATCGTTGAATGAAGATTGCATTGAGAATCGTAGCAGTAAGGTCCATTCTGTAGGCAAATCTTTTGAACTGGAAATTCTGAACTTTCATTTCTTTGGCGTGTCTGTCACTCCCAGCGTGTGAGCGCGCTGGGCAGACTGAAAATCTACCCGCCTCCTTTTAGATACTAGTCCAATGCTCTGCCGTTTAAGCAGCGACTCCAACGAGACCAAATCGGTTCGTGTGTTTGTTTCGCAACTGAGTCTAGTTCCTTCAATATTATTGTGGTCATAATATGATAAAAAATCCTTTTTCATTCCCTTTTTCTTAAAATTTGCCACATTTTGTCTATATTCATTATCAGCTATCTATACCATATGTCACCATGTATAATACTTGTAGCACTATTTTGTGCCTTATATTTAAGACATTGCATCAAAGTTTTATCTTAAGAAACAGAAACGAATGGTAGCGATTAGTCAACCAGTTCGATTTCCTTTCACGTATGTTGTATATTTTCTCCTCTAGTTACCTGGTTATTGTCAGGACGGATAGTGGTAGCAACATAGAGCGTTACAATGTTGAGACTGAAGTGGTGGAAGCAATAAAAGCAGGAGGTGACTTTCCTCAGGATGTTTCTGTTGATGCTGATAATGGTGTAGTTTACTGGGTAAACGTCATTGGTGGTTCTACGTTTAAAGTCAAGAGAACCTCGTATGCTGGTATAACAACAGACCTAAATATTACGTATGCTGACAGAATTGAAATAGCTCAAGATGAACTTTACTTATATGTTCTGGTTGTTTCAAATGAGACAATCTATAAATATAGGAAAAATACATGGGAGCAAATGGGAAGTATTGTTGTTCCCAGTGGGACGAGTGGAATTGAAGTTGCATTTGGTGAGTATTAGAGCCTGTAATCTGTATCAATGAAATCAATTATAGTATCAGACAAAAGAAAATGCTTATTGTACTCCTGTCTTAACCTGTTAACACATTGTGATTCAAGCGTGCATTACATTATACCAATAATGAATGTTTATGACTGTAATGGTAAAAATACTTTCAAGAAGTGAAAGATACAGTAGAATATTGAATTCCACGAGACGACAGCGGAATGGAATGAGAAATTCCATCTATTAGCCATTCTGAAGTTGATGTGTGGACTGGGGACGAGTGTTAAAGTGTCCCTGTCACAAAATGAGAGTTTATATTTCGAAATCTATGATACAAAATATACGGAAATTCGAAAACAGAATCGAAATTGCTCTTTTAGTGTAAAAGTTATTGCCGTTTAAACATTGAATTTGGCCTTGCGAAAAATCTGAAAACCGCGCAAAAGAGACTGGGACGAAACAATGCGTGTGACGTAATAGTAGGAACTTATCTAGCTCACTGATGTAGAAATACTATTG